CATCACCTACTAGATCTCTATAATGTCCATGTAACTGAGCAGCTACTAGTAGTAGTTGCTATTTGGCTGCATAATCACACAAAACCAGGGTGGATAAAAAATCAATGATTTTTTTTAAAAAATCCAAAAAAAATCTGATTTTTTTTATTTAAATCGGATTTTTTTTTTAAATAAAATGCTTTTTGAGGAAAATATATTACCATCCAAAGGTTATTCCATCATGACATAAAGATTAGTTTTTTAATTATGTAGAATAAGGCTGTATATGTTTAATTTTTTTGGTAAATAAATTCCATGAATCCATTCACAATGGCATGCTCTTCCAGCGGTTTTTGTAAGATTATTGGGCAGTTTCTCTGCCTACAAGATATTTATCACAGATGATTGGTTTACTTTTGCAGTTCTCAAAACTGAATTTGACTCAGCGGAGATCACATGCCTCTTCTTCACAACAAAAATGTTATAACATGAACAGAGTTAAGAAAAAGACCTTAATCCTAACTTCTACAAACCTATGAATACAGAATCAACCCCTTCAGTGCTAAGTTTCAAGAAGTTCAGTGAATAGAATAGAAACAATATTTTTCTGATTGTTTGGAGTGGAATAGATCTGCACAAGAAGGTGAAACTAAGTGTGAGGAGGAAGGGGCTGACAGTCTAAGTTTCTTAAAATATATATATTTTGTTTAGCCAAATTAGTTAACAAACATGGATGTTTGTTTAAGCAAATAACATATGCTGGAATGTTATTGTTTCAGTTGAATAAATCTATTTAAATTGTTATTATTAAGGGAATGATTATTTTTCTCCTTCCTAAGTACAACAGAAAAGTTGTCCAAATATGAATGATTAACCTATTAAACTGGGGATAAAAAAACTAATATGAAAAGTTGTTATTCTAAAAATCTTCATCTACTTGCATATTAAAGTTATACCAGCAAGAATTAGTCTTTATGTAGAAAACTAGGATTCAAATCAAGCCTTACTGACTAGTGATTTAAATCAGTTTGATTTAAATCAAATCCACCCTGCACAAAACTAAAACTGTCGCTGTGACTTAGGGCCTGTGTCCAGGGCAGCTGTTAGAAATCACTGGGTCCTGCACTGTCTGACAGCCCCCCCCTTAACAAAAAAATATTAAAATGTTTTCATTAAGAACACACTAAAATAATTATTAGCGAGCAGCAGGGCGAGTCGCATCCTGGACAGGGAAAGTGATTAGTGAGGTGGGTGGTAATTATAGGAACCAATCCCCTGTGTGTGTCTACCTGCAGCAGTTGAAAGTCAGTTGGAGGGAGAGAAGGATTAGGGGAACCAAATTTATTCTCTCTTGAGAGGAGGAGATTAAGGGGGGGGGGGATATGATCAACATGTATAAATACATCAGTGATTAATATAGTGAACTCGGTGTCGAGCTATTCACCCTGAGGTCATCACAGGGGACAAGGGGGCACTCTTTACGTCTGGAGCAAAAGAAATGTAATCTCCAAACACGGAAAGGTTTCTTCTCAGTGAGAGCTGTGACAATGTGGAATAGACTCCCTCAAGAGTTGGTTCTGGCCAGCTCAGTGGATTGCTTTAAAAAAGACCTGGATTCTTTCTTGATACACAGAATATAACTGGATACTAACATTTATAGGTAAAGTTGATCCAGAGAATATCTGATTGCCTCTCGGGGGATCAGGAAGGAATTTTTTCCCTGCAGGAGTAAATTAGATCATGCTTTGCTGGGTTTTTTTCCTTCCTCTGGATCAATTGTGGGTATAGAATTATAACTTTTTTTTTTTTTTTTCTTTAATGGTTGAACTGGTTGGACTTTTGTCTTTTTTCAGCCAGACTAACTATGTAACTTTTAGCTGCTGCAGGGAGGGACACCCAGGGGATCAGTTTCTCTAACTGAGCCCTCTGCTTCACCAATCACCCACTCTCCTGCCTATATCTGATTCTCCTTCTGCCCTGTACAAGAGAACTGGTGATACCCCCTTATCAGCGGCCTTGCTTGTGTCCACAGCTTTTTTTTTTGCCTCTAGCAGGTTTTGCATTCACATACTGTACAGGTCTATAGAGGATGCAAAGCCAGCGGGTAGGAATGGAGATAAAATGCAGGTCAAATTCACCTGTCAGTGAATTCTGAATAATCTCAGAAGCATCTCAAGGTGATGTCATCAACACAAGCCCTAATGCTAACGCAAACAAACATAAAATTCACTTGCGAACTGCTGATTTGAGATGCGCTTATGGTAATAAATGTTCCCCTGCTGTCTGAATACTAGATCTCTATATAGTCTAGCATATCTATATTGTACATATTTCTACGTACACACTTCTAGAGTGTTTCAGTGTCCTCCACTGTTATTCCCTTTGTAAAGGAAAATAAACATAATACAATGTTGTTTTCCTCTAGGAAGAACTCCTGCTGGCTAACATGTAATCTGCTTTAATGTTTCACTCAGCAGAGGAAGCCCTTTCCCTCATTCCACATCCTTTAGTGAGATCCGATCCTATGTTTCAAACCAGAATTCTTCAGATTTAATAGAATGCTTTGTCCCCACTTACTCCATAACTAAATAAAAAAGAACGCAAATAGGAGATAATTCATAAGGCTACATGTACACGGGACACTTCTGAATGATGGAAACTGACTGCTGGAAAACATAGGTTAAAAAATGTCTGTTTAGCCGCGTTTGCATACCGTGTGAGCGTTTGTTTAGAAGCATTTTTTTAAGATAACCTCTGGAGACCTTCCAAAATGCCCAGAATGCACTGAAAAAAAATGAACCATTTGACATTTTGAGAGAAATAGAGCAGAAGCAGAGAGAGCACTATTTGTTGAGATTAGCTGTCTTTTTTTTTTGGATGTGTTCCAGCTCATTTCTGTGCAGAAATTATTGCAGAAGTGTCTAACATATTTGTTTTCATGCAAAACCTCAAAGTATGGTGTGCTAGATCCATTTGAGCACCGGGAAAATGCTTTGCATGCATTTTTCATGATGAAGAAAAGACAGCATCTGGAAATGGAAGAGTTAAAAAAAACTTTCAAAACACAAACGCCTATAAACGCTGTTAGCCGCGTTTACAAGCATTTTGCGTTTGAAACGCTGATAAAATCTATTCCTGAACGCAAGTTTTCTGCGTTCAAAAAAACGACTGTAAACAACGATATGTACATGGACACATAGGAAAACATTAGGGTGATTTCAGGAGCTGCTGAAAAAAAACGCTGAACATCTCCTAAACGTGAAACGTGATCAGCTGCAGTGTACATGAGCCCTAATTCTGCAAGCACATCAGAAATGCAGGTCAGGGTATTCCTGTGCCAACCTTTTCTGCATCCTGTTTCTTGGTTTACTTTTTGCTATACTGTCATGATGGGTTGGGGAAGATGGCCTGAGCTTGATGCAATATGGAGGAAAACTCCACCTGAAATCATATTTTCTAGTGTACTCTGAGAGTCAGGGTCAGTTAGCCCAAACATAATATTTCAGTGTTAAGCATGCAGGAATGTAGAGATGCTGTATAGATCCTCGTGCCTTTTTAGGAGCTCTTCAGGCAAGTACTAAGCTTCTCCCTTTTTCTCATTTTTCTTGGCTTTGCCCCTGCAGAGATACAGAAGGGAGTTCCAGAAAGATGATCATGCCTAAAAAAGGGTAAAAAATATAAACTTGTTTCATACCCAAAGATGGTTTTAAAAAGAAAAAAACTCCCCCTGGCCCCAAAAATACAGATTTCTGCCTAAAAAGGGTAGAAAAAGTACAAAGTAGTGAGTGAATCTGCCTGTACACATTAGTCTACCCAAAACTGCCATATCGGTTTTGTCTTGAAACATTGGCTTATTCTATTCCCTTTAGTATTATAATGACTCCTCTGCATTTAAAACTCTGATATATACATTGCTTGAGGTTTTCCTTGTGAGATATAATATGAAATCAAACTGTATAATTTAGGGAAAAACAATACAGAGATCTTTTAAATGATTGTGGCATAAATATGCATATTCCAGCCAGCTAGGTATGCATGCCCTGAGCAGACAGCCCTGCCCCACTTCATCCTGGGCAAACAGAGATTGGCCAACCTGACATCCATTTTTCAGCTTTCCATTTTTTGCAACCTTACCATTTTACATTAGTTGCATGAAGAGGTCAAGGGGAAGTCTGTGGACATACTGTACATCAAGTTCCTTTCCTTTCCTGACAGTTGGATGGATAGGGCAATTAATATCCTAGGGCGTTTGAGTAAACTCCTATCAGATCTGAATAAACATGGTGTTTTGGAAGTTAAATATATGCAAACTTGACCTGTATTGGAGCTGACATTGATTGTAAATACCAAATAATTCAAGGTAGATATTAAAAAAAACATGCTTTAGGTGAGTTATGTATTCATGAAAGAATCATTACATTATTTTCAAACTGTAGTGAAGTAGTTTTTATATTGTAGTGAAGTAGCTCCCACGATAACCTTTACATAGTAGTTGGAGGCATTTCATGTCAGGCAGGTTCTGTTATGTTGCTCATTGATGTCTATGATTAAAGTATAAAGACAAAACTTTTTATTTTCTTTAATGGATAGAGTGGAGAGGGATTAGAATGTTTTGTCAGTTTTTATTGCTGTCTGTGCCCCCATTAGGGAGCTTGAGTTGTCCCCAGAAAAGTAATAGAGGCAAAATCTTCCAATGGTAACCTGGGGGTCCCCAAGGAATTCCCTTCACAAGACTGGCTAAACAGATTTAGAAATCGTTTGTCAGATAAAACAGTTTATAGATGTATTTCAAATGTGAATTTATTCACCTTCTTGAGTTCTTCTTTGTTTTTACATTGGAGTTTTGTATTACACATTCTTCTGTGGACATCAGCAATTTCCATGCTTCCAACACTGCCCATAGGTGTATCAGTTGTGTCTAATGCAGACGAGAGTACTGTGTTGTTCACCCCTGTAGTTGGATATTGGACACTAAATTCGTATTTTTCATATGTATTCCAGGGCCTGAGACAAGCCAAGACATGAAGCTCAATGAGAGGAACTTGGTCTATTATGCCACCTGCAAGTCACCAGTGGACAAATGTGGGTTTTTGTATAAAAAGGGTGAGCGCAATGCCTCCCTATCATAGACGTTGGTTTGTGCTGAAGGGTAACATGCTCTTTTACTATGACACTGAAGAGCGTAAAGAACCCCTTGGAGTGATTATACTTGAGGGATGCAGAGTGGAGCTCTGTGAGTCTACGGAAGAATTTGCTTTTGCAATCAAGTTTGGCTGTGCCAAATCGCGTGCCTATATTCTGGCTGCTGACAGCCACAGCACAATGGAATCCTGGGTAAAGGCTCTTTCCAGGGCGAACTTTGAATACATCAGACTTGTAGTTAAGGAACTCCAGGAGCAGCTTGCGGAAATGAAGAAAAGTCATAGGTCTCCTAGTGGGACTCAGGACACGATGGAAATAAATCCCAGTTTCCACAGTGACTGTCCTACTGTCCCTGATATTCAAGATAGGCCTGTTCTTAAGGACAATAGTAGTGTGCCATGGAATAGCACCCCAGATAATGTGTCCAATGGTGTCATTCATACAAATGGACCAAAATATAAATATACAAAAGGACACTTAGGAGACGACCTAGGGGAGAATGGGCAGCTCTACTCCATGGCATCAGAGAAGAGTCTGCAGACCGACAGTAGTGCAGATGAGGCATGTGCCAGTAATGAGGGGGCTGAAGACACTGCCAGCTTCTCCAGGCTTCACGATTTATTTGGTAAAGAAATTCTGCGACTAAGAACACAGTGGGCTGAAAACACCTATGAAAAGTAATGAGCCGTATGCTGGAAATCTCTGCCTAAAGGATCATTCCACTCAGAATAAATATCTCAAATTTATGTAGTTGCTGACAGGTCTGATCACTTCTTGGCCTTTTATATTCCTTATAGGCTCTGATGATGAGATATCTGCATCTGAGTTCCTAGCTCCAACCACCCGCAGCAGCCTTTGCATGTGTGTGTATATGTGTGCAGGAAGGGGGATTGTGGGACAACACCAGGAAATCTAACAAGGAGACTTTTGAAATCTGGCAAATCCAGCAAAATAGTTGCCAAGAGATTCTGACTGGATGTATCCACTCTTAGTTGAAACATTAGTTTTTGAGTGGACTGACCTAAATTAACCGAATCAATTATAAATTCTTCACCAGTATCCTCTATTTACTGCCACATTGTCAAAGCCACTATTTTAGTCTATTTTTTTTAAATTTAGAATGTTACAACTTGCTTCCTTTGATGAGCACAAAAGGACTTGCACTGATGTAACAGTTGATCAATATGAGATGTAATACTTTGATCAACATTGACTGATCGTTTGAATTGTCAGTTATGGCACTGAGAATATGAACTTGCTTTATTATGCAATGTTATCTGATCTAGAATTCTTGTGACCAATCACTATCCTCTAGTCAGCGTATTGTAGTTATTTGCACAATTTTTTTACTTTTTAGAGTTCCTTAATACTGTGATGTTAATGTATGCTCTGATTTTTCAAAATGAATTGCAGTAGAATGATACAGGTTGAGTTCTCTGTGATGATATTGGCTCACACCTTTATATTTTTATCGGTAAATACAGTAGTGACAATCGTTTTTATGAAACCTTTTCTGAATGTGTTGTCTGGCTGTTATTTTGACCTACTGGTTTTATTACTTTCTGAGCCCCTGCCTAGGAAAAAAACACAGGTAAAAAAAAGTTAGGGGAAAATGGCAGTCCATATCTGCAATCTTGTTTTGAAGTGGTGGCTCCCAATATTGAAGAAGGAGGTTAGCAATGATGGCTTATGTGTTTACTTTAAGTACAACTCCAGAAATATCCAAAACATACCACCTTTGCAATGGCCATCTCCCCCCTTCCTTTCTTTCTGCAATGCAAGGACAAAATGCTTGTTATGTCTAGGGGTAGGGGCATAAGAAATACCTTTTTATTCCTCGTTCCAGCAGGGGTCCTCCAATACAGTTCTCTGTAGCTGTCTCTGTAAGCTGAGATCGGCCACATTCCAGCCTCCTCAACATACTATGCACGGTTATTGTCCCTGTATTGTGATGATGTCAAGGCTTCCACCTCAGAACGGAGTTTTGGGCAGAGGAGGAGAATGGTGGAGTGGGGAGATGGGTAAGTAATACAGCCAACACATGACATGATGAGCATTTAACTCTTGCAGTGCAGGGGGGGGGGCCCACTACCAGGGTTTTGCTATTTGTGGAGTTGGGCTTTAAAACTAGCCATTATTTATTTATTTATTTTTTTCAGATAGCGGGCTGAACGAAAAAAAAAAAAAAAACAGATTCCTCCATTCACACAGCAGCCAGTGATTTCCAAAAGGATTCCAACTTCATTTGACAGAATATTAACTTGTCTATTAGGGGTGGCCACACACTGATCAAAATTTGGCTGGTCCCTGCTGAGCCGACTGAATTTTGATATAGCTATAGCATCCTTAAGATTGCATCTTCTTGAGGAAAAATTAAAAAGTGGAGGATGGGGGAAGGGGCTGATAAGGGTAAGGATTAATGGGCTTATGACTGTAAGATGATCAAGTTCTGCTGGTTACAGTCAGGTCAGGAAGCAGTTGTTTGTTTATAATGATCAGTAGGAAAAAAAGGTGTTCTCCACCCAAGTAGCAAACATGCCTGTTGTGATCAATGAGATTCTTTGTTTAATTTTCCCAACGAATAAAAGATCAAACATATTCAGTCTCTAATGCACGTTTTACACTTCTACAGAACGTGTTTTTTTTTTTTTTTTTTTTTTTAAGCTTGACCCCCCATAAGATCCCTGCCCTCTGCCTGGAGTCCCTTCCCAGTTGCTAGAACTTCTCAGGTGGGTTGAATTTCCCCAGGTCGTAACATTTGTACAGAAGTTCTTTCCATGGATGGATCATGCCTGCATAACCAGTAACTATCTGTAGATAACCTCTGGGAAAGTTTACACTACTGTGTTCAGTGGAACTATAATTGCCCAAAGCCTAGTAATAGTGCAGGATAGAAAAGTAAGATGTACTTGGCTACTGTGCCATGTTTTTAAATGTTAACATCCACGTACAAGCCAGACATTTACCACGTACCTCAATGTGTTCAGGTTCGGCTTCCTTTCCTGGTATGCCACATCTACATTTAGAGCCAATGTTACATGTTTTTCACCAAAAAGTATGGTGGTGTGTGCGTGCGTGCGTGTGTGTGCGTGCGTGTGTAATAGTAGTGTGAGCCAGTGGGTTGACTCCTTTTTTATTTGTATCATGCACACTTGAGCTCATAAACACCTGTTTCACAGGAATTTCATTTTTTTTTATCCTGCCTTTAAATGTCCCTCCAAATTAGCATATGTGTCCATGCACACACAGGAGAGTTTACAGGAGTTTAGAGGCAAGAGCGTTTGAGGCAGAAAAAAAAAAAAATTACTTGTACATTCGAGAGAGGATTTTAGCTGAAAAAACGTCAAAACGTGCCTAAGTGCTGGGAACATTTAATGCTTGAATGTTTATTCATTTCAATGGCCAGAAATAAATGAATATTCTGGCCAATTGAAATGAATAAATGCCCAAGCACTTGACGTTCCTAAATGCATTAGCAAAAATGTAGCTTAGGCCCGTTTTTTTTAATCTGCTTTTCTCCTGCTGGCAGAAAAGTGTTCAGAAGAGCCCCAGTGTGAAAGGGGCCTAAGCATACAGATAAAGTACAACGACAACTCCACTGTTGAGAAATGTATGACTGGTATACTTCTGAACTGGTTACCGTATTTTCTGGCGTATAAGACGACCCCTACTTTTCCTGTTAAAATATAGGGTTTGGGCTTTACTCACCGTGTAAGACTACCCCTCTTCCAAAGCACACCAAATACAAAATTAAAAAACATCAGATTTGATTTCAATATGGTATGGTATTCCAATGATGGGGCACGATTCCTCGCTCTGACACCAATGATGGGGTGCTATTCCTCCCACTGGCAACAATGATGGGGTGCTATTCCTCCCACTGGCACAACAATGATGGGGTGCTATTCCTCCCACTGACAACAATGATGGGGTGCTATTCCTCCCACTGACAACAATGATGGGGTGCTATTCCTCCCACTGACACCAATGATGGGGCACGATTCCTCCCACTGACACCAATGATGGGGCACGATTCCTCCCACTGACACCAATGATGGGGCACGATTCCTCCCACTGACACCAATGATGGGGCACGATTCCTCCCACTGACACCAATGATGGGGCCCCACTATTCCTCCCATTGGCACCAATGATGGTGCCCCATCATTAGTGTCAGTGTGTGAGGAATAGTGTCCCATCATTAGTGTCAGTGGGAGGAATCGTGCCCCATCATTGGTGTCCATGGGAGGAATAGCGCCCCATCATTGGTGTCAGTGGGAGGAATCGTGCCCCATCATTGGTGTCAGTGGGAGGAATAGCACCCCATCATTGGTGTCCATGGGAGGAATAGCGCCCCATCATTGGTGTCAGTGGGAGGAATAGTACTGCGTCAGTGGGGAGAGGAATAGTGCCCCATCGTTGGTGTCAGTTGGGGGAGGAATAGTGCCCCATCATTGGTGTCAGTGGGAGGAATAATGCCCCATCATTAGTATCGTGTGACACCAATGATGGGGCACTATTCCTCCCACTGACACCAATGACACTTGCTGACTCCTGTTCCAGTATGGTACTGCTGCAGCCAGCATATGTGGGTGCAGCAGCACCTCTGCACTGCACACTTACCGGCTTCTCCCTCACTCTATTTTCACGGGTCCGCTTGGCTCCGCCTCCTCGCCCATGATCTGCCTGTGTACCTTTCCTGAGCTACAGTTCTGGCGGCCAATCACCGGTGAGGAGGCGGAGCCGAGCGGCAGGAGTGAGGGAGTGGCCGGAGTGACTGAAAGAGCAGCGCTTCCTGGACTGGATCGTCGTGGGAGCCAGGTAAGAGACAGCAGCCCTCTGCCCACCCCTGTACTTAGTGTCCCTTCCGTCAGAAGGGGGCGGCGGCACCGCGCGGCGCCCCCCTAAAAAGTGCCGCCCTGACGTATACCGGTGTATAAGACAACCCCTGACTTTTGAGAAGATTTTCAAGGGTCAAAAAGTCGTCTTATACACTGGAAAATACGGTATTTTAACTGATGATTAGTGGTGAAAAGCCAGTGAATGAATACACACCTAGGTTTTTTTTCTACATTAGTTTCTGGCCCAGCCCTTCCCCTGCCAACTGATGCTTACAATTACTATTAGTGGTGCACCAATATATCTGTTGCCAAAAGTAGGGTTATCGGCATTTTGTCAATTTAAAAAAAAAATTATAAAAAAGCCGATTAATGGCCGTGTGTTTTTTTTTGTTTTTTTTTTTTTTTTTTTCTTTTTTTTTTTTCTTTTTTTTTTTTTTTTTTTTTTTTTTTATGCATTATTGTACAGCTTGCTTACATTTTTTTAATATTTCATTTTTTTTTCTGCTCCATTTTTGTTTTACTTTCAAAAACCGTTGGTGTTTTTTTTTTTAAATCCATATTCATTTAAATTCAAGATAATTAAGTCGAATACAATTATATATTAAAAAAAAAAAAAATGTCCATTTCAGTTTCGCTTGTTGGCCAAGTGCATCCTGAATTTTCATTTTCGGTCCAGAATTTTAATTTCGGTGCACCACTAATTACTATAATAATGAATGCATACATGAAGGAGCATAGCATTAAAGTGGTAGTAAACAAAAAAAAAAAAAAAGAAAAACCGCCCCCCTGCAGGTTTAAGCCATAATGTGCACAGCATACTAGCACATTATGTCAGTCTTA